CTCTGGAAACGTTCCAGTTAAAACAAGTGTTACACTTTCTATGAAAATGAAAAGGATTAAAATATCTGCAACCTTCGCCATTCGGTGCTTCCCCCCGTCTTACCCCCCCGTCGCCGCTCAGAAAAGAACTAAGGAGGAGGGGGACGAATCGACTCTTTTGATTTTAAATAAAAATTTTCATCATTTACGTCACAAAAGTTTTTGAAGTTAAAAAGTTTGAATTTTATATTTATTTCCTTTTTATGGTGATTATTGAAAGTTTCATATATGCTGTTAAATGGAGTAGAAGGATACTAATCACGAAATGAAAATTTTGAAAAGAATATATTTGAACAGTTTTTGAATGATTAATTTTAGTATCTCTTACATCTAAGGGCTGAATTAAATTTAATTACTGCAACAGAACTTCTCTTTGACAAAATCCGGCTTCAACGAAGCAGCGTTTATAAGTTTCCCATTTATACATAATTTCATCTGTGTCCCGATTCATTCCTATTCGTTAACAACAAAATATTCCATTTATGTTATTTTATAACTACGTTTATAAATCATATTTTTCTATGACTGATATGATAATTTCTTTTTGAAACCCGCACAGTTTCTTCGTAAGTCATTTCCTTTTTTCATTAGCTTTTGGAATCTGAAATGACAGATAAAAAGGAAGAAAATGGATATCTCAAATTCTACAGGAATTCAAATATGGTTGATGAATGCAACCAAGGTTCTCCAGTAGGCATAAAATACGTAATGCAGTCTGCTGACCAGATAGGTTTACTGACTAAAGGCACTTCATTTTTGAGTCATTTGGTGAGCAACTAAAGCGTTTTCCTTTGCCCTATAAGTGAAACATGCTTTGGTATGAGTGTAACATATTTGCACGTATCGCACATTATCTTCGCTATCAATATAACACATTGATGCAAACTACGAGATTTCGTATTTGTCCACTTGATATACATACTGTTGATTGCGAATATGTGCTAATTAAACCAGCTGAGCGTGCGAATATGTGCTAATTAAACCAACCTAAAATAAAAACAGTGACTACATATCGGTAGAAAAAATAGCTATTTACTTTAGTAAATAAAATAAAATAAAAACACTAAAATTAATTTATTTCACCTTTCATGAAGACTGCTGTATTTCCATTATTTTTGAGGAATAAACTAAAAAATGGCGTAAAATTTCCATCAATATCTAAATTGACTGATTTCCCACTTTGAATCATTCTTGTATTTGTGCATTTTTTAGCTCCTCTTTGGATACTATTTTCATGCGTCATAAATTTTGTGGTAATATACATGTATGAATTATTTAAAACGAAATGGTTTATTGTTGCATGTAGTATTAACGTCCGATAGTCCGAGTGCTCATGAACAATGCGCATCCATTAACGACGTGGAGGTGGTGGTCAGAATTTGGGTATGCTGCACAGTAAATTTATAAGGCTAGAAACCAAGTATCACATTAAATGATACTTGAAAGATTGTTTTTAGGAGGAATTAAAGTAACCATCTGTGTTTAAATTTCCTAGGGAAAAAATAATATTTATTTTATCAATAGAAAACGTTCTCATTTTTATGTTACCATACGATTTGCATTCTTAGGATTTTGAAACCGAAATGTTTTAACGTTTCTAAAATTAAAGATGTTGTTTTAAGTAAACTAAAAGTAAAGTGATAAAATTTAAATTTATATATTAGTAGCTGTCTGGTGGAATAGCTTTAAAATTCTAAAGGTACTTATATCAGTAATTAAACTAAAATTTCGATTGTACGTTTACTCGCGCTGTAGAAAACATGTTGCCCCTAGAATCACCAAGTTTTGAGCACATATAATCCTTCATATAATCAAGAATTTTGATTTTCGAATTTGCTTTTTAATTTATTTCGTATTTGTTGTGAATCGAATGTAATTTTGATTCACAAACTCAGCGAGGTATTCCTCTCGGCAAAGAGTAAAATATTTCTCTTTTTAAATTTAATAAATAAATATGAAGATTTGAAAGAGATGTTTTACCACCGTTCAAAATGAAGTGTTTTTATCTTCCCCGCGGCAGTACATTGCCATTCGTCAGATCGTAAGGTACTTAATTTACATTTCAAATTTCACCAGTTTGTTACGAATCCAGCAATTAAAAAGAAATGAATTCAGATCATCTGCATTATTATGAATTATTAGCTCTGCTCGTTAAAATTCTTCAGTATTTTTTCTTTCTTTTTTATAATAATTATTTTATGTCACTGGCTATTGAAACTGCGGGTATAAAAGAAACAATCCAAAGAAAGCAAAGACAAATATCTACGTTTATGTATTGGCAACTACCGCGCCCATAGACATGGTGCTACGTAGACATGGTAGACGTTTTGATACCTTCATCAAAATGGCAGCCATCAAAATTAATAAAATTCTCATAACTACTCTAATAAATGAGGAAACCCAATTTTGTCATCATCATTATTATGCATTGCACTAGAATGGAAGAGAAACCGACTGCTTAATTTGGTACTACCATGACATTATTCAATTCATCCAATCACAAGGACTTCTCTGTAACACAAGAGTTCTTGCAATTAGATTAGTAGACTGCATTCCTGTATTACTCTGATTACACTTCGATTGAGCTCATCCCGAAAATCACAGTCAATTGAGTTCTGGCTGCAGATGAAGTCACGCATGTAGACTTAAGAGTCTTTGTTTTATATTTATTGTAAAATGCAGGAATTTTAGATTGTGGATTGCAACTATAAAAATCAAGTATTACCATTTCTGTTGTAAGTTGTTGCTAGTGAATTAATTTTCAGGTAGTTTTAGTTTTGCTAATAAATAGTACAAAACTTACCTTTTGAAATTGTAAAATAATTAAATGGGTTGTTTTAACAGCTTGTATAACCACAGAAACATAATTCTTAAGCTCTGCAATTCTCTAAAATTCTGAGTTGTGTATAAACTGAAATATACTATGGATGACTTTTTAAACGACGTCGTCGATAAGATCAGTATTAGCATAAATAAGTAATATTAACATTAATAAATTGGGAGTTTGTTTAAGCTTTGAAAACGTTTGTTCTGAATTCTATATGAATTCATCATTTATTTTGTGCTACTATAGATTTCGACGTAGTACCTCTGTTCAAAATGTTCAAATAAAAATCATATCACGTGCGTGAAAATTGCAATAGTTCAATTTGACTCTTAGAGACGCTGTCGGTATATTAGCAAAAGACATTTATACAGTGTAATACAGTGCATAATGTATAAATGTTGTATAAATATTGCGCATAAAGTAATATATAATGTAATAATGCATAAGTAATGTATGATATATACAGTATGTAATATATATTTGTACGTAATTAAGTAGTATGTAATGAAACAAACCGGTAGACAATCCACTTTTCATTACTTATTTTCAGTTTTCCGAGTTAATTTATGTCCTACGATGTCTCAGTCTCGCATACGTGCATCTCATAGAACTTCAAAAAACATTTTTTAATTTTAATTTTTAGCATCAATAAAAAACACATTTTTGTATCTGAATTCATAACATGTAACACTTTAATTCTATCCTTGGTACAACTTGTTTTTATTGCTACATAATCTCTTATCGCATATTAGTAAGTCGGAAAACTTCATTATTTTATGAAATTTTAAAGTTCTGCATTACGAAATCAAGAATAACTTATTTCTTTTACTTACTACTTTATTTTTATAACTTATTTCTTTATCATAAACTAATTAAGAAAAGTGCAGATCTGTTCTGCAAAATCACCGAACTAAAATAATTGTTGTGAAAGAAATCTTAAAAACCTAAGTACATACCTGATGCTTTTGGAACAGTTACAGTTATGAATTTTTAATCCTTTATTCAATATTTTCAGTCGTTTGGTAAATGATCTATATGCTAAATGTTAGAAAAGTGAATAATACTCCAAAAAAAAAAAATAAAATAAAAAGAATTTCTAAGGAACACAAATTCATTAGCACTGTAAACCTTAATTTTCAAATCAGTTAAAATATACCAGTATTTTTTGTCAAGCATGAAGCTGATGTATATTTCGAACAATGACAATATAACCATTCCATACTAAAACATAACTATAAAGTGCTTAAAAAGCAAGATAATACGACATATGAAAGGACTGTTCAATTTCAAGACAAGTAAATTTGTGCAGCGTCTTGTGTTCTTTAGCTAAAATGTGTTTATATTTTATAAATCACAATTAGAAATTTCGTCTGTATTATAATATAATAAGCGTCACTCTAAAAAATAAACAAAATATGCACACACTTGACTGTACTAACAAGAAGTAGAACACTTACCATCTTAAAACCTCTAGTTGCCATTTTTAACTGAAAGGAAAAAATTAATTTTGAAAATTTAAGATTAAATTCTAACGTATTGAAGAACATGCAATACAAATTTCGAAAAGATTAAAAAAAAAAAAAAAAAAAACAGTAAAAAAAACAGTAAAAAAAAACTTAAAACTCATTGGATATGAAGAATTAAGAAGATCAGTAGCATGGGGATTTCAGTATAATGCCTGGATTAATCTTAAGCTAAGACGTGGAAATACGCCTACGAGTTTAAGAATTAATCGCGCCGAAATTAAAGATAAAGAACATGAAAATCATCTATTTAAAACTCCGGTCCAAAACGGCAAAAACCAAATGTTAAGGAAAAAAATTGTTCTGATATTATTTCATTACATATTAATGCCACGGTGAGAATATTTATTTTACTAGATATTTTGCTTATAAGATTTGAGGCAAATATTATTATTCGGAAATTAATTCATTAAAAATGAAAGCGAGAAACTGAAACCCTTACCAAAAAGAAATTTCGCAATGCAGGATACTATCACAGAGAAACCCAGTGGCAAAATAAACAATCACTTAATTAATTAATCATTAGATCTTATTTATTAATGCTTAATTTAAGAATAAATAAATACAGTTTTAATTGAAATAATATATTTGTCTTCCCTTTCTTTTTACAGAAAGGCGAGGGAAGTAGCAGGAATGCAGGAATTTGCATCAATGTAAAAACTGATTTAAAAATGTGATTGGTAAAGGAACAGCTGCAATTTGAATTCGGCTCTCCTCTGTCAAGCTGATGTAACATTGTAAACATTGTAATCCGAATGATTTCTATTAAAAGAGACTGGAATCATTCAACACGACAGGACCTGACAGATTTTGGTATTCCTGACTTCAATGACGGGGACATGACTGACATTTGTATTCCGGTTAAAAATAATATGATTGCATATGCCTTGAATTTTATCAATATTTCAAGTTTCTTCAAGTATTATATGGAATTTCATTAACATCAGACATAAAAAAAAAAACTTGTATTTCTTGAATGGATTTGGTTCTGTAATGTTTAGTACTATAACTAGAAGAGTGACTGTAAAGAAAATGTCTGTAAAAAAAATCTGATGTGGACATCACATGAGTTCCTCGTACGGCCAATTACATTATACATTTTTTTTTTACTGAATTTCATTTAAACTTATTTCCTCGAATTTTATTAGAGCTATATTTCTCCTTCAATTAATTCAGTTTTCGCTTTGCGACAAGGCAAAAATACATAACAACTCGAAACATCTTAATTAAAAATTGTAAGAAAAGCTTAAAAACAGCAAATATAGCTAAAAACAGTTAAAGAAAAAAATTTTAGGATTAAAAATAGTGCACAAAACTGAAAGTTTGCTTTTGGTCCCACTCGGAAAAATGACACTGGAGTTGGAGCAGAAACTAAATTCACTACTCTAATAATAGTTCAAATGTAAACCGATGGCGGCTTGGTTAGGCTAAATAAACAACTTTTAAATTGCTTATAATTCTACAATTACTGCATGCAGATTAACCTAAGACATAAAACCCGTAACCGGAACATAAGAACAACATAATTCAATCATTTTGAAAGCAAAAAATGCACAATTTACCAACATACAAAAATAAAACAAAACTGAGCTCACTGAGCTGGGTAACAAAATGAGTATATATATGTAAACTTCTGGTGCACCCGATTGCAAAAAAAAGGAGGCGCACAACTGCATGTTATAGCAGTCCCATGTACAAAACTTCAACGTTCTGAGGTTATTGGTTTTTGAGCTATGCGAGATACATGCATACGTACAAACGACATGAAGAAAAATCTCATCTGAATCTATTTTAAATCCACTTTGTAAAAAACAGTCTCTTATTCTATCCATAGGTACAGATTTTACGCAATTTTTCAAATGGATTCCAGATTGGTCAAAATGGATATTTTCGGTGAAATATGATACCCGAATGTTTTTGAAACAATACTTCCGAATACGTATACCCTCCAAAAAATTACGCATACCGAAAAACAATACTTTCTTTACTTCGTACAAGAAGTAAACAAACAAAATTTCTAAACGTCATTCAAAATATTAAATATAAACACATTAAAACGTATTAACATCATATCGAGTGATCGTCAATAATTAAAAATCATATGCAAAGTATTTTCATATTAGAAACCCATGTGTATATTTACGCAATTTCCTTTTGAATATAAATTACTAAAAATAAAAGTATACTATAATACTGAAAAACGTATTCTAACATTTAATAAAATTTTAAAAAGAAAGGTGCTTACAAATTAAAAGCTATACATATTGCTTCAGAATTGTATCCTTTATATTATAATCTGTTTTTAACGAAGAGACTGTACAACCAGAAAAGTTCGAAATTTTCTAAGTAGGGCGTATGATATATGGCATTACAAGAACCTATTTTTATTTATACTAATTACATAAACTATAAATTTTTATAACACTTTTAGAAAATGCTGCCGAGCAGTGCAGATTGTTTTGAAATGGCTGGCTTTTCAAAACAATCTGCGCTTTACGATGATAACATGCATTTTTATGAAATAAAAGCCATATGGAAGATCTTGTGTTGGAAACACTGGCAACAGCCTCCTTGTCCGCTTTCGAACCTTAAACTGAGGCTAGAAGGATACTTAAAACAAATGTAAAAAATACTGTATCAGGTGTTTCTAAATTTTGCATATTATTTGAATGCAAGCAAAATCAATTACGATTACGAGTTACGTAAAGAGAAATGATTTATGATATAATATTGAATTAAATTAAATTAAAAATAATTCGATTTAAACGCCTTTTATTTCAACGTTTCATATTTAATGCTGAATCCAAAGCTTCAGAATATCCAAGAACTCCATCCACGTCCCCCCCTCCCCCGCGCCTTCTGAAAGTAAAACATTTCTTTTACAGGCCTAGCGATGCGAGAACTAAAACATTAAAAGTCTCTGGATTATTTTAAATGACGCAATTTGACTCAAACTGCTGTTTCATATTATATTAAGTTATTCATGAAATTAAGCTTATTTATTAAGAAAATGTGTTGACCAAGAGTGATTTCTTGTTTCAGAATACTATTCCATGGTAAAAATCATTTTTCATTTTTACTTCCAAACACCATGTTTCAATTAGAAAACATTTTACAGTTAAAGATGCAAATCCACTTATCCAAGTATATTTTAAAAGAAGGAATCATCCATAAAACAAGCAGCAGAAGGATAAATAACTTCGACGATTGCATTTTATATCCAGTAGCAATTTTTTTTCTTCCTTTCCAAAGCTCATGAGAGAAATAAGACATATTTCAAAATGAAAGGAAAGGAGAAAGAAAAAAGATACCAAATAAACATTTGAATTTTTAAACTAAAAAAAAATGGCTCGAGGCTTGAAAAGCAGAGGAATCATTCTTAATGGAGTTTTCGTACAATCTATTTGTTTGTCCATTAGCTTTCATTATTCGTTTTCTCTTTGCAAAAGATGGAAGTTTACTTTACAGTAAGGATTACCTCCACTACCAAAGCGTTGAAATTTTTCTCCGTCGATCAAATAATATTATCATTTCATTTTTTTACATGGAATGAAAAAAAATTATTGTGTTTGGCTTGCGGGAGAGAAGAAAAACCTTTGATGCTAGTGAGGTATCTTATTTCTTTGAGAATTGGAAAACCAGCGTGGCAACGAGAAAAAAGAATGTTTCTTTAAAGAGCACTGTCATAACCATTTTATACCAGCTGAAAAGTCCTTTCATTTTCTTTTCTAATGAAAATGCTTTCACTTCTTATGACTAATCCTAACCAGCGTCAGAATATCTAGAGAACGTTCAATGCAAGTGTTTATGAATGTATCAGGTACGTCCAGGTCGAATCTTATGAATTTCAACTAGCACCAGAATATTTAGAGAACGTTTAATGCAAGTGTTTACGAACGTGTCGAAAACGTTTCGGTGGAACATTCACATAACGTTCAATACAAGCGTTTACGAAAATTAGAAGGAACGTTTGACTAGAACCTTTTGAATCCCAATAAGTACCAGAACATTCAAACAACGTTTAATGCAAGTGTTTGCGCCCGTGTCAACGTTCGGACGAAACCTTCTAAATCCCAACTAGCACTAGAACACTCAGAAAACGTTCAACGTTCACGTTTACGAAAGCGTCACGAACTTTCGGTCGGAACTTTCTGAATACAAAATAGCACAAGAACATTCAGGTTGTAGAGTCCAATAGATGAACTTCTGTCTGAACCTGGAGTAGCAGGAAACTACACAAAAGAAGGGTTAAAGTACCCTTTATTAAATCTTTGAAAATTTACAGTGCGTCAACTTCAACGCTAACAAACTTCGCCTCTGCTTGGGCGGTACCTGAAAAGTCAGATATTGAAACTAAAAGTTGAAGATATTAACAAATGATAGAACTAGACTACAGGGCTCAGCGAGATCCCGTAATTTCAACCCTCTTTGAAGCTAGTGGCCGCAAATAAATGCAGTTAAGCCACTTGATCCAGCAGTAAGCAGCATGGAGGTAGGAAGTAAACCTTTCTTACCTAAGCAGACGTAGAGGTGGCGATTAGAGCCTAACTCTCTCTTTCTCCTACCGAAACTCGGCTTTTAAATACTTTCTACAAAATAGAAATTTGCATTCCTTCACGCGCGCTACAACATTTAACTATTCTGGCACTGACAATTAGGGGAACGAAAGCTTATAGAAAAGTTTGAACTTAAGCTTCAAACGGTTAGTTAAAATAAATATAAATCCCTGTAAGTATTCACGAACATGTCAGGAACGTTCAAGCAACGTTCGGGTGGAACCTTCTGAATCTCATCTAGCACCAGAACATTCACAAAAAGTTCAATGCAGATATTTATGAACATGTCAAGAACGTTTGGACAGATCCTGCTGAATCCCTTTCATAATCAGATGGGCTTGGTGTAACTGACCGGGCGACGTGGAATAAGAGTGTCATGCGAGAGAGGGGCATTAAAAATTTCAGTAATGTGGAAAGCACGTCTCATCAAGACTGCCGGGACACTTTCTTGAAGATCTTAACTTTGGTGAAGAGTTGCAAACTTGCACAAATGCGGAGGTGCCGGAACCCTTTTTTCAAGTTGTCAGTATCTTACTGAGACACAAAAGTGCTTGACATAAGGGCCCAAATGTGCTAGCACCCTTATGAAGTTTGAGGATTCTCCCCATGCGTAATTTGAATACAAGCTAGTTTCCTTTAGAAAGACTTTCATTTCAGCATACCTCCTCCCAACAAGTACTTCGCCATATTCAGAAAAAACAAATCCTTAAGGCAAATAGCGTATTTGCATCGGCACAAGCAATTATAAAAAGCAAAATACCAAACTCGCTTGGCCATCTAGTAGTAAACAGACAATTGATAGATCGTCTCGGGCTAAATTCAGGTGGCTGCGCAGTTTGGCTGCGGGAGGTTATACACTTCTATCATATAAAAGAATACTATTTTCTACGATAGATGACACTACATTTGTGTTCTTTTTGCTTCGCTCATTGCTTTCGATACATGTAAATACAAACGTTGTTCTTCCCATTTTGTAAAGCTTTTGCTCCTGAAGAACAGCGACCTGTGTCTTATCGCCCTCGAAGTCAGTAGCATTTTATTTAGAATCTGGGACTTATGTAAGAAATTATTTAAAGTTAAGTAAAAAATCAAGTTAAGATCATTTTTGCCTAATCTTAAATTTTACTTTAATGTTTCCAATTTGATAGGTATTAGATATATACACAATGCTTACCACTAAATGCTGCATTTTGTGTATATGTATATAAACAATGCAGCATTTAGTGTGTATACAGTGGTGACCAAAATTGTGAACACTTTTGAAAATTTTTATGTTTTTGAACTTATATATTTTATGTTTTTGAACTTATGTATGTTTATAGAAAATGTTACGTTTCGCAAAATGCAAACTTGTATATATCATTTTAAAGAGAATTTATTACTGAATTCAATACAAAACACAAAATTCAATTATTTGCAAT